AGAAACCTTATGTATGTAAGCACTGTGGAAAAAGATTTGCTGATAAGTCCACACTTCGTAGACATAGCAGATCCCACACTGGAGAAAAGCCCTATACGTGTAAGCAATGTGGGAAAGCATTCAGCACTCTCAGTCACTGTCGAAGACATGAAAGTATTCACGGTGGGAAGAAGCCTTAATGTGTGTGATCCATGTGGGGAAATGGACAACTACAAAGAACTATTTTCAAATACATGAAAGAAGTCACACTGAGGAGAGTTTCTATGAGTATCAGTAATGTGAGAAATCTTCAGCCAACTGAGTACTTGTCAAACACATGAAGGAATTCACTGGGGAAAAACTGTATGTAATGCATGTGAGCAAACATTCAGTAAAAATAAAATTTTCCATTAAATACATGAAGGCATACTGTGGCAAGTTTTATATATGTATGCAGTGAGGGAGAAGATTGGATGCAAGATTTGCATTTTGTAGACAAAATTCTCACGCTGGGGAGTCACTGTATGTTTGTAATAAAAACTATGTTTTTGTGTGCAAAAACTTGGCTGATAGTGTAAATACTTGAACAGTGTCACATGGGGCAGAAAACTTACATAAACTATGGGAAGCATTTAGCATATACAGGTATTTTCAAAAACATGAAGGAAGTTACACTGGAGAAAAGCCGTTAGGGCTGGGGATATAGCTCAGTGGCATAAGTGCATTCCTGGCAAGCACAAGGTCCTGAGTTCAATACACGGTACCAAAAAAAAAAAAAAGAAACTCTCTGTGAGCCTATTTTGAAAATCCTGTAAAAACAGGATTACTATTCATGTAATGGTGACCTGTGGAAATAAGATAAAAATTATGACATCAATATTTTCTGCTTAGTTTTTCAGAAAATATACTCCCAGATGGAGATAACCTAAAGTGTACTATGGGGCTGGGGAGATGGCTCAGTAGTATAAGTGCTTCCCTGGCAAGTGCAAGGGCCTGAGTTCAATCCCTGGTTCTGCCAAAAAAAAGTTATTCATTCTGTGTTTTTTAGTAAGCTACTAGTACATATCTGATGTATGTGTCTGGGGTCTTTAAATAAATTGAGTGGAGATATATATCTATATATTTATATATCTATATCTTTTTTCTTTTTTTTTTTTTTT